GGCCCAGAGAGGGCAGGTTGCTCACACTGGGTTGCCCCAGGGAGACGTGGTAGAGCCTGGATTTGAACCTGGGCCTGTTCGGGTCCACAGCCCCGGTTTCATTCCCCTCTCCCCATTCCAGCCCCCGCCTTCTGCATCTCCCTCACTTCTGCTGCTTTCATGCCGGCCTGAACCAGTCATGAAAACCTCACCCTTCCACCCTCCCATCTGTCCTCCCACCATCCCCGATCCAACCAGCTACCCACCAGTCACCTATCCACCCACCCACAATCCCCACCTGTCCGTCACCTACACATCGTCCACCTGCCATCCCCTCATTCATCCATTCACCCCATGTACCCACCTGTTCATCCACCCATATGTACATCCACCCATCCATCCACCCACACCTACCTGTCCACTCATCCATCCACCCATCCATCTATCCATCCGTCCACCCACCCATCATCCACCCATCCATCCACACATCATCCACATACCCATCCATCTATCCATCCATCCACACACCCATCCATCCATCCACCCACACACCCATCATCCACCCATCCATCCATCTACCCACATACTCATCATCTATCCATTCATTCACCCATCCATCCACACACCCATCATCCACCCATCCATCTGTCCACTCATCCATCCACCCACATGCCCATTCATCCACCCATCCATCTACCCACACCTATCTGTCCACTCATCCATCCACCCACACACCCATCATCTACCCATTCATCCACCCATCCATCCATCCACTCAACCATCTACCCACACAGCCATCATCCACCCATCCATTCACCCATCCATCCACACACCCATCATCCATCCATCCATCCACCCACACACCCATTCATTCACCCATCCATCCATCCAGTAATCCATCCACCCACACACCCATCATCCACCCATTCATTCACCCATCCATCCACCCACATACCTATCCATCCATTCACTCAACCACCCATCATACACCCATCCATCTACCCACACATCCATCCACCTGTCTTGCCCACCCATCCACCTGTGCACCCACCTATTCACCCATCCACCTACTCATCCACGCACCAATCATACACCCACCATCCACTCATCCATGCATCCATCCATCCACCCATGTGTCCATCCACCCACACATCTAACCTGTCTACTCACCCGTCTATCCATCCATTCACCTACTATCCACTCATCCATCCACCCATATATCCATCCACCCATCTACCTAATCATCCATCCATCCATCCATCCACTCACCATCCCCTGATCCACCCATCCATCCACCTACCAATCCATCCATCCATCCGCCAACCCATCCACTTATCTATCCATCTCCCACCCATCCTCATGTCATCCATCCACCCATCCAGGTCTCCATTCATCCATCTCTCCATCCACTGGTCCACTGATCAATCCAGTCACACATTCATCCGGCCCTCCATCCACTTACCACTGATCCATCAATCTGTCTCCCTACCCACCATCCATGCACGCATCCATCCACCCCTCCCCTATACTCAACAAACCCAGGCTGAAGGAGGTGGCAGGAGCTGTGGAGAAGGATTACTGCATGGAGCCCCCCGACGGCTGTCCAGGCCCCATGCACGTCCCCATGAGCAGGTGCCAGGAGGCAGAGTTCACCCGCTGGCCACCCTTCACAAGCTGGCTGAGAAGCTGGCCCAGGAGCTTGAGAGCGCAGGTGCCCAGCCTCTGTCTCAGGCTGACCATGTGCTGGCCCTCTGGGCCCTGAGCCTCATCACGGCTTCTGCAGTGACAGCTCTTAGATGACACTGCCCTTAAACAAAGGCAGGCCAAATGTCCAGGGACCTAGCTGGCTGAGCCAGTGACGCTGGGGGACAGACTCACGGGGACACACTGGCCCTCCTGTCCACCCTGGCACAGTGGGCCGAGGTTTCGAGTTTGCATGCACGGGTTCAGTCCTGCCTCACCCGCTAGCTGTGTGATGCGGGTCCTGGTTTGCTCAGGGCTGAGGGCTGGTCCCAGTGCTAAGACCAGAAAAGTCCCGGGCAGACAAGGGCTTTTCCCTCTCTGAGCCTCAGCAGCCTCCTCCAGACAACAGGCACCTTTTCCCAGAGGGGCGTGAGGGCCCCGAGCACCCACAGCGGTGAACAGTGGCATCTGGAAGGCAGGCATACAGCTGGCACTCCATTATTGCTGGGCTCTCAGCTGAGTTTCCCATGGAGCCAGCCTTTGAGGACACACAGAGAGGGGTCTGGCCAGGCTGGGCATAGCCCCCACCCCAGGACTCCCAGGCTACCCTCCCATCTTACCCAAGCAGAGCCCGAGCTGAGACAGAAATGTCCCAAGGTCACACCGACCTCCTGTATGGCCCCTTAAAGCCCTGTGCACCCTCCAGCCTCACTTCCCCCAGCAGCACCTGAAGCAGGTTAGTGGTTCTTTCTGGGGGAAAATTGAAGGGTGGAGTCTGGAAGGGCCCGGAGTGGCCTGGCCCCTGGCTAATCCGAAGCAGGGAACCACCTGTCCCCGTGGCCCTGCCCACCCGGCCCACGCTCCTAATCCGGCTCTCTAAGCTGACACAGCGTCTGCGGCTTCTGCTTGTCCAGCTAAGTCACCCAAAGCCCCCTGCACCTCACGCCGAATCCTTCCTGTGGCCTCGTAACCCACCTGGCCAATTACTTAATTGCGGCCTGAGACCTGAAGCAGCTCATAATGAAGCCATCGGAGGAATTACGTCTCCCCTCCCCCCAGCCCTGTCCCTGCAGCGGCCACAGGCCTGGCTCCGCCCTGGACACACAGCCTGGTGGGCCCACCATGCTGATGGGAAACTGAGGCCGGGGGAGGCACTGGGAGCCTCACAAGGTGCAGCTGCCCCTGTGGCCCGGGCCTGAACCCGTGTCCCTCCCCACCTGCCCACCTGAACTTGGCTCCAGGGATGGGGCAGCCACAGCCGGTCCTGGGCCAAAGCCACCTGCTCCCTGGGGTCTGACCCAGACTCCTCTGGGGCCTGGGCACCTGATTTCTCGAGTGTGAGTGTGTGAGCGTGTGTGTGTGATGTCTTTCTCTGTCTCTTTCTTTATTTTTTTTTTATTTTTTATTTTTGAGACAGAGTTTTGCTCGTTACCCAGGCTGCAGTGCAATGGCGCGATCTCGGCTCACCGCAACCTCCGCCTCCTGGGTTCAGGCAATTCTCCCGCCTCAGCCTCCCTAGTAGCTGGGATTCCAGGCACGCGCCACCATGCCCAGCTAATTTTTTGTACTTTTAGTAGAGACGGGGTTTCACCATGTTGACCAGGATGGTCTCGATCTCTTGACCTCGTGATCCACCCACCTCGGCCTCCCAAAGTGCTGGGATTACAGGATTGAGCCACCGCGCTCGGCCGTCTCTTTCTTTATGTGTGTGTCTCTCTTTCTTCAAAGCCACCAGGCCAACGTTCCGGACGGATCTCTCTACTTCACTGGGGCCATCCACAGGCCCGGGGTTCCCCTCACTCCACCACAATCACCTCCCCGCTGTCCTCTGTGTCACTAAATCAGGCCTCCCCTCACCTCTGCTTCCCGCTGTCCCTGGAGGGCCCCCTCCTCTCTGTGTCTAGGGCCCTCCCCTGCCTGAGCTCCAGCCTCCTGGCTCCATGGACTTGGGGAATCCTGGTCTTGGGGCTTCCCGGAGGAGCCGGCTCCACCTGAGGCCTCCGCCTCTGAAACAGTCCCACCTCCCAGCCCAGAACTGGCCTGGGCATTGCCCTTGCCCCCCCAGGCCCACACCCTGCCCCTCAAACTTCCTTCCTCTGGAATCACTCCCCACCCCCTTCTGTCCTCCCCACCGCCCCGGCCCTGGTTTCTCAGCTGCTCTTCACTGAGGTTTGTATAAGACGCCACTGTATCCCGGCTCCGAAGCCTCCCATGGCTCCCCAGCACCGCAAACTTCACACCCAACGTGTCCAGAACCTGCGGCTTTGTGCCCCGTCTTCCATTCTCACCATCTTCCTTAACATAGCACCTTCCTGGCCAGCTGTGGTGGCTCACACCTGGAATCCCAGCATTTCGGGAGGCCAAGGCAGGCAGAGCACCTGAGGTTGGGAGTTCAAGACCAGCCTGGGCAACACGGTGAAACCCGTCTCCAGTAAAAATATAAAAATTAGCTGGGTGTGGTGGCGCGTGCCTGTAATCCCAGCTACTGGGGAGTTTGAGGCATGAGAGTCGCTTGAACCCAGGAGGCGGAGGTTGCAGTGAGCCGAGACTGCACCACTGCACTCCAGCCTGGGCGACAGATGGAGATCCAGTCTCAAAAACACAAAAATAGGCTGGGTGCAGTGGCTCACACCTGTAATCCCAGCACCTTGGGAGGCCAAGGCGGGTGAATCACGAGGTCAGCAGTTCAAGACCAGCCTGGCCAATATGGTGAAATCCTATCTCTACTAAAAATACAAAAATTAGCCAGGTGCGGTGGCGCGCACCTGAAATCCCAGCTACTCAGGAAGGTGAGGCAGGAGAATAGCTGGAACCTGGAAGGCGGAGGTTGCAGTCAGCTGAGATCTCGCCACTGCACTCCAGCCTGGGGGACAGAGCGAGACTCCATCTCAACAAAAAAACCTAAATTAAATAGCAACCCATCTTGCCCCACACTCCCCTCCCCCTGTGGGTTTTCTCTCTAGGCTCGTGGACGCTGGACACGCTCTGCATTTTAACACGGTTGTCTGTCTGCCCCGCTAGAAACTGCTCTGTGATGTCTGTCTGTTTTGGTCACTACTGCTGTGAGCAGTACCTGGTACACAGTAAGTGCTCAATAAATGTTTATTGGCATAAATAGTGAACTTTGTTTTTTAGATGGAGTTTACTCTTTTGCCCAGGCTGTAGTGCAGTGGTGCAATCTCGGCTCACTGCAACCTCCGCCTCCCCCAGGTCCAAGCGATTCTCCTGCCTCAGCCTCCCAAGTAGCTGGGATTACAGGTGCCCGCCACCACACCTGGATAATTTTTGTATTTTTAGTAGAGAGGGTTTTGCCATGTTGGCGAGGCTGGTCTCAAACTCTCAACCTCAGGTGATCCACCCGCCTCAGCCTCCCAAAATGCTGGGATAACAGGCGTGAGGCTCCAAGCCCAGCTGTGAATGGTGAACTTCTATTCATACCTCAAGACCCAGCTAAAAGGGCCCCCGCCCCTTGTGTCCCGAGGAGCCAACTGCAGTGCCTTCACCTCTGGGAACTCAGCTTCCCCAACCCCCTCTGACATCTGTGAGTCCTAAGCCCCCTTTTACTGCTTCTGGCTGATAATATGAACAGTGGGCATTCACTAAGTGCTCCCTGTATGCCAATCCCTGTGCAATGCTCTGAAAAAGTGAAATACCCCCCAGGGCAGGTCCTATTGTGGCAGTTTTACAGCCGGGGAAACTGAGGCCCAGAGAGGGAGAGGCCCTTGGCATCCTATGGCGAGGGGCAGTGGAGCCTGGCCGACCCAGCCACCCCCTCAGAGCCCCAGCCCTCCGCCCACCTGCCCTCCCTCGTGGCTCAGAACAGCCTGAGTCGGAGCAGGAGGGGCCGCGTCAATTAAGCACCTGGAGCTAATCCTCACCCCTCCCCCAACCCCGACCTGGCTGGGGGCTGGCAGGGCCAGGTCACGGCAGACGCGGCGCCCGGCCGCCGGGGCAGGTGCCCCGTGGAGATCGACGGAGGGGCTGCTGTGGGCGGTGAGTGTGGGACAGGCAGCGGTGGGCCTGGATGGGAGGTGGTGGGGGCACAGATCCCCCCAGGGTGGAGGGCTTAGGATGAGGGAGAGATCCTGCCCTCCTGGGTGAGGCATCCTCGACCCCCCCATCACACACACACACAGACACACACACACACACACACGCCATGACAGTCACAGAGAGGGGAAGAGAAAACAGGGACGGTGACACATGCAGAGGGAAGGAAGAGCAGACAGAGGCCCCGTGGGAGACCCCCAAGCCCAGGATCCCAGCCGGGGATGTGGAGCCCATGCCAGCCCCAGTGGAGGGAGCGGATTTCCCTGGAGCCGTTAGGCAAGCCTGGGGCTCCCCTGCCCTGTCCCTGCCCCCAGCCGCCTCCCCACCATCTGTTCCGCTGCCATCCCTCCAGGTGGGAGCCATGTTCCTGAGCCCAGGCGAGGGGCCGGTGGCCGAGGGTGGGGGTCTGGGGCCGGGCGAGGAGGCCCCCAAGAAGAAGCACCGGAGAAACCGCACGACCTTCACTACCTACCAGCTGCACCAGCTGGAGCGGGCATTCGAGGCCTCCCACTACCCGGATGTGTACAGCCGCGAGGAGCTGGCGGCCAAGGTGCACCTGCCTGAGGTGCGGGTACAGGTGAGGGCACCCCCCCAACATCTCCCACCACCTAGGGAGGGAGGCGAAGTGAGATCCTGACCCTCCCCATGCATGAGCAGAAGAGAGGCTGGGAAGGCTTTCTGGAGTAGGGGCTGTGGGAGCTGAGGTTTTGACGTTTGAGTAGGAGTGTGCCAGTTGGGAAGGAAACGGCATTTTTCTAGGTATCCCAAACAGTGTGTGCAAAGATGTGGAGGGGATAAGTTGGAGGCGTTTCCCTTGAGCTGAGTGTGAGGTGGGTGAAGGGGGAGGCAGAGAATGGTTCGGGTAACGGCGCTTTCGAAGGCCTTGAAGGCCAAGTTGGGCAGCTCAGGCTTCTTGCTGACGGCCACGGGAGACCAGGGAGGGGAGTGAGGAGTCCGAGGGGAGCCTGGGCTTAGGCAACGGTTGGGAGGGGCTGGATCCTTTTCAGGCTCATCGTCTTGGGTGGAACAGTGAAAGAGCAGGTGGGAGTCGGGTCAGACGGGAGGCAGAACCCCCAGGCTGGGGTGTGCAGAGAGGCTCCAGGGGAGGGACTGGGCTCACAGCACCCTCCGGCACCCTCCAGGTGTGGTTCCAGAACCGCCGGGCCAAGTGGCGGCGCCAGGAGCGGCTGGAGTCGGGCTCAGGTGCCGTGGCAGCCCCGAGACTCCCCGAGGCCCCAGCGCTGCCGTTCGCCCGCCCCCCGGCCGTGCCCCTGCCCCTGGAGCCCTGGCTGGGCCCCGGACCGCCGGCTGTGCCAGGCCTGCCCCGCCTCCTGGGCCCGGGCCCGGGGCTGCAAGCGTCCTTCTCGCCCCATGCCTTTGGTCCCCCCTTCGCAGACGGCTTCGCCCTGGAGGAGGCGTCTCTGCGGCTGCTGGTGAAGGATCACGCGCAGGCTCTGGACAGGGCCTGGCCACCAGCCTGAGCCTGCGCCCTCCCAGGCCCCCTCCTCGGCCCCACCCGAGAGCCGGGGACGTGCCCTGGTGACAGCCACCACGCCTTGGGCTAGGCCGAGGTCACGGAGCAAACACGGTCAGACCAGGCCATTGCTGGGGAGCGGGACCAGAGAGGCGTCCTGCTGGGTCCCCGGCCCCCACCCCCCATCCCCCACCCCATCACCACCCATCCTGCTGGCAGTGGACGGGCTCTGAGTGTCAGGCAGGAGGTGTTCTGAGCATTCCCAGGCCCGGGGCAGGGTCCTCCTCCCCTCCTCAGGCCTCAGTCTCCCCGTCTGTCAAGTGGGCATAGGCGTGTCTGAGATTCCCGGGCTGCGAGGCTGTGGGTGACTGGGCCGATGACTCTGTGACATGAGTCTAAGTCTCTCTGCCTGCCCCCGATCCCTGTCGGCAGAGATACCCGCTCTCCAGGGCTCCCTGACCCCAGGAGATGATCAATAGCAGCTCAGGCGAGCCTGGCCTCCATTCACCGTGTGCCCCCACTCCAGTCCGTCCTAGACCTCGGCCACAGCCGTCAGCCCATTCTACGGAGAGGGAAAGCGGGGCTCAGGCAGGAAGCCCGAGCTTGCATGGCCAGGAGTGGGTGGAGCTGCCTTTCAGACCCACCCCTGTCCCCACCGTCCAAGGCACAGCGGCAGGTTCTGGAGGGAGGGTGGGTCCTGGGCCAGGGACTGCTGGGACCCTGGTGCAGAGGCGGGCGAGGCTGAGGCAGTGTCGTCATTGTCAGCCCCTGCTCCTCACGGCCCTGCCCACCGCAGGCCCCGTGCATGTCCTGCAGTAGCACGGCCAGCATCTGCTCTCTCCAACCCGGTCGTAGGGCAGCAGGAGAGGCTGGAGCCACAGGATGGGACAGCCTGGGCCAGGGCCGCCCCCCAGGCCGGGGTAGGAGCTGCGGCGGCCACCCTCCCTGCCTCCAGCCCAGGCTCCCAGATCGCTCCCAGGTCACTGGGGCACCTCATCTCCAGGAGGCACCTCACACCAGTCCTGAGGCCCAACGCCCAGCCACCACCCAGTGTCACTGTGCACCGGTCACTCGGGACATGGCAGTCAGCACGTGAAAAATGTGTTCTTTAAAAGCTAAACCAGGCCAGGGGCGGTGGCTCACGCCTGTAATCACAGCGCTTCGGGAGGCCGAGGCGGGAGGATCGCTTGAGCCCAGGAGCTGGAGACCAGCCTGGGTGACACAGCAAGACCCTGTCTCCACGACACTTTCTAAAATTTGCCGGGTGGGGTGGAGCACACCTGTCATCCCAGCTGCCCCAGAAGCTGAGGCAGGAGGATGGCTTGAGCCCCGAAGGTCGAGGCTGCCGTGAGCTGTGATCACGCCACTGCACTCCAGCCCGGGACACCCAGCCAGACCCTGACTCAAAACCAATAAATAAAAAAGCAAACCTAAAACGTAGACTTCAGTGATCAGTGATGGGGACAAAAAGAAACAGGAAGGGCAGACGGGGAGTGTGGCGGGGCTGCGGTTTTACCAGGGAGTTCTGGAGGAGGGGAGGCTGGCGTGGAGGCGGGGGGTGGGAGGGAGCTGGTCTGGGGGAAAGGGAGCTGTGCAAGGCCCTGGGGCAGGACCATGCCTGGTGCATTGGAGGAACGGAGGGGAGGCCTGTGTGGCTGGAGCAGAGTGAGGAGGTGAAGGAAGGAAGTGACAGAGGAGGCCAGGCAGGGCCGGTGGCTGTTACCACTTTTGAATTTTACCCAGAGAACCTTGGGGAAGCACAGGAGGGTGGGAACAGGGCTGGCACCGACTTTGGGGGGTGCAACCCAAGGCGTGCTCACACCCCACCTGTCCAGGGAGGGCGGGACAGCAGGTGCGCGGTAATCCGCTCCAGTCCCCTAAGAGGATGAAGCCAGGGTTTCCCTGGGAGGGCGGAATTAGCCTTGGACAGTGGAAGCAGGAGGGTGGGTGAGCCCAGCCCAAAGCCCCCAGGGCACCCACCTAGGAATGGGTGGGGCAGAGGGCGTGACCCTTGGGGTCTTTCAGGATAGGGGTCCATGACGAGATCCACCCCCACCAAGAGGCCCTATCACTCCCTAAGGAGGCGTCCCCTGCACCCCGCCTCGCCTCCTCCAATTGGTGGGCTCCAGGCCTCGGGATCCCGTCCCATTGGTCCCTCATCTCAGCCGGGCAGGGCAGAAGCGGGGACTGCAGGGAGTCCTGGCTGTGGGTCAGGGTCAGGGTGGGGGCAGGGTGAAGGTGCCGAAGGCAGACTCCAGACGGTGGACTGGGGGCGGGGGTTGAGACCTGGGCTCCAGTGGAGTGGACAGGAGGGCTTGGGGTGGGGAAGGAAGGCCCAGGCTCCTGGCCTCCGGGGATGGTCACGCTGTGACTGTGGCAGGAAGGAGAAGGGGTGGTCCCTTCCCTCTGATCCTACTTGCTGCGCTGGTGGGGGACGTTGGCCAGGAGCCCTGCGGCTGCCCTGCCCATGAATGCCATCCCCAGGGGATCCAAGGACCCTGAGATAAAGAGAGCCACATGTCTGAATATGGAAGCACCTGGATCCAGCCACACCTGAAGCCATACCCCTTCCCCGGGACATCTCCTTTCTTTATTTTTTGACTGAGGCGTGCTTTGTCGCCCGGGCTGGAGTGCAGCAGCGCCATCTCGGCTCACTGCAGCCTCCACCTCCCCAGTTCAAGCGATTCTCCTGCCTCAGCCTCCAGAGTAGCTGGGACCACAGGCACGCAACACCACACCCAGTGAATATCGGTAGTTTTTTTTAGTTGAGACGGGGTTTCACCATGTTGGTCAGGCTGGTCTTGATCTCTTGACCTCATGATTCGCCTGCCTCGGCCTCCCAAAGTGCTGGAATGACAGGCGTGAGCCACCGCGCCCGGCCAACATCTCCGTTCTTGAAGCTCACAGTCTCCTTTCTGACTGGTGGCTTTGGTTAGGTTTGAGTCCCTTGCAACTGAGAGGCTTGGCTAGGACCCCCACCACCTCCAACGTGAGATTCAGAGCTGGGGCTTCGTGGGTGGTGTCAGGAATTCCAGGAGTTGGGGAGAGAAGCCAAGGGCTGGAGGTACAGGGGACCTGCAGACGGCCGGCCACTGGCGGGGTGGAGGCCGGGATGCCTGGGGTCTGAGGGGCCCACCTCCCTCGGGGCTGACGTCAGACAATAGCCGAGGGGGACCAGGGCGTACCCAGAGAGGTCTTTATTGCCCTCCATGGCCCTGGTCCAGCCCTGCTGTGGCGTCACAGGGAAACCAGGCTGGGGAGCCGCCTTTTGTCTCACAAAAGTCCACGTTCTCTGGGAAAATGGCAGGTCCTCGGGGCCGAGGTCAGGGTGCTGCGGTCGGGGATCCGGGGTTGGGGTCCGGGGTCGGGGGTCAGGGGTCGGGGATCTGGGGTTGAGGCCAGCATTGGGGATCCGGGGTCCGGGGCCCGGGGTCGGAGATCTGGGGTTGAGGCCAGCATCGGGGATCTGGGGTCCGGGGTCTGGGGTTGAGGCCAGCATCGGGGGTCCGGGGTCCAGGGTCGGGGATCTGGGGTTGAGGCCAGCATCGGGGGTCCGGGGTCCAGGGTCTGGGATCTGGGGTTGAGGCCAGCATCGGGGGTCTGGGGTCCAGGGTCTGGGATCTGGGGTTGAGGCCAGCATCGGGGGTCCGGGGTCTGGGGTTGAGGCCAGCATCGGGGGTCCGGGGTCAGGGGTTGAGGCCAGCATCGGGGGTCCGGGGTCAGGGGTTGGGGATCTGGGGTTGAGGCCAGCATCGGGGATCCGGGGTCTGGGGTTGGGGATCTGGGGTTGAGGCCAGCATCGGGGGTCTGGGGTCTGGGGTCAGGGGTTGGAGATCTGGGGTTGAGGCCAGCATCGGGGGTCCGGGGTCCGGGGTCCAGGGTCTGGGATCTGGGGTTGAGGCCAGCATCGGGGGTCCGGGGTCTGGGGTTGAGGCCAGCATCGGGGGTCCGGGGTCAGGGGTTGAGGCCAGCATCGGGGGTCCGGGGTCAGGGGTGGGGGATCTGGGGTTGAGGCCAGCATCGGGGATCCGGGGTCTGGGGTCTGGGGTCGGGGATCTGGGGTTGAGGCCAGCATCGAGGGTCCGGGGTCTGGGGTCAGGGGTTGGGGATCTGGGGTTGAGGCCAGCATCGGGGGTCCGGGGTCCGGGGTCCAGGGTCTGGGATCTGGGGTTGAGGCCAGCATCGGGGGTCCGGGGTCAGGGGTTGAGGCCAGCATCGGGGGTCCGGGGTCAGGGGTTGGGGATCTGGGGTTGAGGCCAGCATCGGGGGTCCGGGGTCCGGGGTCCAGGGTCTGGGATCTGGGGTTGAGGCCAGCATCGGGGGTCCGGGGTCTGGGGTTGAGGCCAGCATCGGGGGTCCGGGGTCTGGGGTTGAGGCCAGCATCGGGGGTCCGGGGTCTGGGGTTGAGGCCAGCATCGGGGGTCCGGGGTCTGGGGTTGAGGCCAGCATCGGGGGTCCGGGGTCAGGGGTTGAGGCCAGCATCAGGGATCCAGGGTCTGGGGTCCGGGGTTGGGGGTCCAGGGTCGGGGATCCGGGGTCAGGGGTTGGGGATCTGGGGTTGAGGCCGGCATCAGGGATCCAGGGTCTGGGGTCCGGGGTCTGGGGTCGGGGGTTGGGGGTCGGGGCTGAGGTCGGGGCGCACCGCGCTAGAATTTCTTGTTCTTGCTCAGCCGGTTGTGGCGCCAGATGTTCTGTTTGCGCAGCAGCCGCCAGTACTCCCGGCTCTCGGGGTCCAGCTCCTCCAGTTTCTTCGGGGGGCCCACGTTCATCTCGAACAGCCTGACAGGGGCGCGGGCAGGAGTCAGAGCTACACGGCGACCCCCGGGGCTCCCTGGCGTCCTGGGTACCTCAGACAGGGCTGGGTCCCAGTCCCACGGCTCGGCTGCATGTCAGGCTGGTCCCTCCCCGACCCTGGGCTGGGTGGTCCCTGGCCTTGCTGCAACGGAGCCAGCCCCATCCCAACGGCATCAGCGCCAAGCCCCGTCCCGCCTCCAGCGCTGCCCACACTATGCCAGCTGCCCGCACGTGCTCAGCCTTCCTGACCCTCCCCAGCCTTCAGATCAGCTTGCGGCCAGAGCAGAACGCTCCGAAGCCCACAGGCCCTGCCCTCGCCTCCGCCCTCTCTCCTGCTCCTCGCTGTGCTCCAGCCACACAGGCCTCCCGGCTGTTCCTCTAGCACCCCCGTGCGGTTCTGCCCCAGGGCCTTTGCACGGGCTGGGCCCTCTGCCTGGAAAGCCCCTTCCACCCACTCATAGGCTTGGCTTCTGTGTCTCCTCCCCCAGACCTCAGACTAGAGCAGCCAAATGTCCCCGCTCTGTCACTCATCCTCCTTCCCCGTTCCCGGGAGTGTCACCACTGAGGCTGCCTGATTTCCTGCTTCCTGTCCACCTCCCCAGCAGGCTCCGCAGGGTGTAGGGCCTATTTCCAGTCCTTCCATGTTCCTGGAGCCTAGAACAGGGTCTGATATGGAGTCCGTGCTCAGTAAGTATTTGCAGGCTGGGCGCGGTGGCTCACACTTGTAATCCCAGCACTTTGGGAGGCCGAGGCGGGTGGACCACCTGAGGTCAGGAGTTCGAGACCAGCCTGACCAACGTGGTGAAACCCCGTCTCTACTAAACACACAAATCAGCCAGGCATGGTGGCGCATGGTGGTGACAGAGCGAGACTCCGTTTCAAAAAAAAAAAATTTTTTTTAAGTATTTGCTAAAGAAAAAAGAGCATTTATTTATTTAGAGATGGAGTTTCATTCTTGTCACCCAGGCTGGAGTGCAATGGCGCAATCTCAGCTCACCACAGCCTCCGCCTCCCCGGTTCAAGCAATTCTCCTGCATCAGCCTCCCACGTAGCTGGGATTACAGGCACGCGCCACCACGTTCAGCTAATTCTGTATTTTTAGTAGAGATGGGGTTTCACCATGTTGATCAGGCTGGCCTCAAACTCTTGACCTCAGGTGATCTGCCTGCCTCAGCCTCCCGAAGTGCTGTGATTACAGGCTCGAGCCACCGCAGCAGCCAAAATGAGCATTGTTTTAGCTACTTGACAAGTGTTCTAATCTCATGAATCCCTCAGAGCCCTCGGATGGAGGGATGGGTCCCATCACCCCCTGTTAAAGATGGGACCACACAGGCGCAGAGCCCGGAAGCCAGGATGGGCAGGTGTCACTATCAGGCTCCTGGCTGCAGTGGGAATCCGCCTCTCCAGGAAGGGGTCCTCCTTCCTGGGGCAGAGGAAGGAAGAGTCGGTGTGGGATGACAGCCTGGCCCGCTCACCATCCAGGGTACTCAGCATTCGGTTTCAGGGGTACATCCTGCCCTTCCTTGTAGATGTTGACGCCCATGGCATACGTGGTGAGCTGGACGGGATCTGTGCACACCTCGGGGTCCTTGAGGGCATCGCTGGCCACTGCACCCTTTCCCGATTTGCCCATCTTCACAGCTGTGGGGAGGAGAGGGAGAGTCATTTCAACCGCCCTCCCAGAGCTCCCTGTCCCTGTCTCAGGTGGCCTCAGCCACCGGCTGGACTCTGCTACACTCAAAACTTTTTTTTTTTTTTTTGACAGAGTTTCAGTCTTGTTGCCCAGACTGGAGGGCAATGGCGTGATCTTGGCTCACTGCAACCTCCGCCTCCCAGGTTCAAGCTATTCTCCTGCCTCAGCCTCCTGAGTAGCTGGGAGTATAGGCATGCGCCACCACACGTGGCTAATTTTGTATTTTTAGTAGGGACGGAGATTCACCATGTTGGTTAGGCTGGTCTCGTGCTCCCAACCTCAGGTGATCAGCCTGCCTCAGCCTCCCAAAGTGCTGAGGCGTGAGCAACTGTGCTGGCTCAAAACTTTTTTTGAAGACAAGAGGATCTCAGCCAGGCACAGTGGTTCACGCCTGTAATCCCAGCACTCTGGGATGCCAAGGTGGGCGGATCACCTGAGGTCGGGAGTTCGAGACCAGCCTGGTCAACATGGTGAAATCTCATCTCTACTAAAAATACAAAAAATAAAAATAAAAAATAAAAAAATAGCTGGGCACGGTGGTGCGTGCCTGTGATCCCAGCTACTTGGGAGGCTGAGGCAGGAGAACTGTTTGAACACAGGAGGCAGAGGCTGCGGTGGGCATCACTGCACTCCAGCCTGGGTGACACAGCAAGATTGTCTCAAAAAAATTTTGGAAAAAAATCTTTAAAAATTTAAAAATAGCTAGGTGCAGTGGCTCACACCTGTAATCCCAGCACTCTGGGAGGCCGAGGTCAAAAGATTGAGACCATCCTGGCCAACATGGTGAAACCCCATCTCTACTAAAATACAGAAATTAGCAGGGCATGGTGACACGTGTCTGTAGTCCCAGCTACTTGGGAGGCTGAGGCAGAAGAACTGCTTGAACCCAGAGGCAGAGCTTGCAGTGAGCTGAGAAAGCGCCACTGCACTCCAGCCTGGCACCTGGCGACAGAGCAAAACTGTCTCAAAAAAATAAAAATTAGGCCGGGCGCGGTGGCTCAAGCCTATAATCCCAGCACTTTGGGAGGTCGAGGTGGGTGGATCACAAGGCCAAGAGATCGAGACCATCCTGGTCAACATGGTGAAACCCCGTATCTACTAAAAATACAAAAATTAGCTGGGCATGGTGGCGCGTGCCTGTAGTCCCAGCTACTCGGGAGGCTGAGGCAGGAGAATTGCCTGAACCCAGGAGGCGGAGGTTGCGGTGAGCCGAGATCGCGCCATTGCACTCCAGCCTGGGTAACAACAGCGAAACTCCGTCTAAAAATAAATAAATAAATAAATAAATAAAATTTAAAAATAAAAAGCAAAGACAGAGTCTCGCTCTGTCACCCAGGCTGGAATGCAGGAGCGCGATCATGGCACACTGCAGCCTCAAACTCCCAGGCTCAAGCAATCCTCCTGTCTCAGCCTCCCAAATAGCTGGGACCACAGGTGTGCGCCACCACACCCAATTTATTTTTTATACAAACAGGGTGCTGCTATGTTGCCCAGGCTGGTCTCAAACTCCTGGGTTCAAGTGACCGATCGTCCCTCCTCGGCCTCCCAAAGTGCTGGAAATAAAGGTGTGAACCCCCCTCCCTGGCCTCAAAATCACATTTGGACACAGCATTGAACACTGATGCCCGAGTGACCAAGTCGTTCCCTTTAAGTTATATTTTAGTTGCTTCTGTTTATGTCACTGAGAAAGTCTCCACTGGCTGCTATGCGGCTGTGTTTAAGGCTGAACATTCGCCAATTTCTCCCCTTCAACAGAGGAAATCAGGCAAGGCTGTATCCAGCTGAAACTTAATAACCTGGTTTTGTTCTTGCTGAAGTGGCTAAGACTGAAATGGGCTCCACGGTTTCCTTGAATTTTTGGTAACGGCTTGACCAAGGTCACCCAGCGATTTGGAGAAAGACAGAGACACAGGACTGGAACCCAAATTCATGACCTCCCCAGCCTCCCTGCAAAGCCCTTCCAACCCGCGCCTGCGCAGTGAAAGGCGTGGGGGGGGTCTACGTAACCGACATCCTCCTCCCAGGCCGATTCGCCCCACACTGGCGCCTGCGCATTGAGTACAATGGCTAAGGTCTCTGAGAGACGCCCGCGCTCAAAGCGGCGCTGGGTCCCTCACACTGCGCCTGCGCTTGTAGCCTGACAGCCGTCGCTCTCTCGCCCTGCGCGTGCGCATTAAGTCTAGCACCACCTCTCCAACCAGCGCCTGCGCACTGCCAATTCCTCGGTGTACTCGCCGACTCTAGCTCTTAAACCCGCTCACCCGGTTTCTTGGCATAATCCCGGACCAGGAGTCTTCCAGGAGCGGCCGGCTCTAGGAACTCCCGGGCACCCCAACCGGCCCACGTCCGGGTAGCCCCGAAAAGGTGTCTGGTCGCCATGACGTATTGCAGGCAGCTTGCACGTGCAGGTTTCCGGGAGATGTCAGTGGCCCAAAGGGTGCTTGGGAGTTGTAGGCCCCGTGGAGGTGTCTGGGAAACGTAGTCTCCCAAGCTTTCATACTCTACGGGGGTTTCTTTAGACTTTTGTACACATAACCAGTTGCTGTAGAAGACGTTCAACGTATATTTCATTGGCTTCTTGTCCTTCAATTACGTAACATTTACTAAAAATATCACACTTTATATGTTCCTGATTCCAGCCAATGAGTAAGGCCCTTTACTCCAGCAGTAGGTCTGGAGTCTAATCATTATTAATTTTTAGAACATTTTTAACATTATTATATATTGCAAATGTATATTCTTTTCCAGCCCTACTGCTAAATCCTTGACCCGCTTGATCTAATTTAATCCTCACAATTAGGAGGTAGGTACTATTTTATCCCCAGCTAATACCAGTGAGGAAACAGAGGCTCCAGGAGGTAAAGGTCTCAGGCCGAGCCCAAGTCCAGGGTGCATGAATCTGTCGCCCAACTGTGAGCCAAACCGGAAGTCCGTCTTCAGAGTCCCCACGCCGCTTCCGGTGCCTCAAGGTCCCAAGGAAACCACCGCTCACACTTTAATACTTCCCAACCCCACTTCTCTCCATCTGCCCTCCTTTGGAGTAATGAACACAGCCTCAGTAGCCAAGCAGGGATTATTAACGCTATTTTGCAGAAGAAACGGGTCCTGGGGCCAGGCCGGGCTGTCCGCGGGCAGGGAAGCCTGGGATTCGAACCCCGGGCTCCGACACCTGCTGTAGTCCCAGCGCCCCCGCGTGGCGAGGCTGACTGGGAGAACTACTTTTCCCACCAGGCCTCGCGAGGCAGCGCATGCTCAGTGGGTCGGGGCGCTACGCGGGTAGAGGAGTCCCAGAGCTGTTGCTTCTGGGGGCGCGGCCCGGGCTATGCCGGGGCAGTCCTGGGGGCGCGGGGTCCTGGAGGCCGCACGGGGTTGAGGCGGCCCCGGTTTGGGAAGTGAGTGTCCTCGAGGTGCGGAGCGGGGTCTGAGTCGGCGTCAGAGGTCGGGGGTCTGAGGTCGGACCGGAATATGGGATCGGGGCTGGGTCCTGAAGTCGGGGGTCCGAGTCTGGAGTAGCGTTGGAAGTTTGGAGACTGGGGTCCATTTTATGGCGTCTTGGGTCTCTGGTATTAAGTCCAGTGTCCTGGGTCTAAAGTTCTGGATGGGGGTATTGGGGGTTGAGGTCATGGGACCGGGGTCTTGGGGACCTGCCTCTGACGAGTCTGTAGAGTCAGGGTGTGAGGTCTGGGTCTCCAGCCTGGGTTCCACGTCTGCAGGGGAGGAGGACTTGCAAGAATCAGGGCTGGAGTGAACAGACTCCATTCGTTGGGAGAGGTCCGGGGTGAGGGAAGCCACTGCCTCACACCTCCCCATTCTGTGCCTCAGTTTCTTGTCTGTAAAATGGGAATCCGAACTTCCTTGCAAGCGTTGGCGAGGATTAGATTATGTGTCCTGTATGAATAGTACCCAGCTAGGGCCTAGCAACGGATAGGCACCCAGGAAACCTCAAGTTTTTTGTTTTGGGGGGATTTTTTGAGACGGAGTCTTGTTCTGTTGCCCAGGCTGGAGTGCAGTGGTTCAATCTCGGCTCACTACAACCTCTGCCTCCTGGGTTTAACTGATTCTCCTGCCTCGGCCTCCGAGAGTAGCTGGGATTACAGGTGTGCACCAACACACCTGGCTAATTTTTGTCTTTTTAGTAGAGATAGGGTTTCACCATGTTGGCCAGGCTGGTCTCAAACTCCTGACCTCGTGATTCTCCCACCTCAGCCTCCCAAGTAGCTGGGACTTCAGGCATGCACCACTACCCCCAGCTAATTTTTGTAATATTTGTAGTGATAGGGTCTTGCTATGTTTCCCAGGCTGATCACAAACTCGTGGGTTCAGTCTGCCCTCCTTGGCCTCCCAAAATGCTGGGATTACAGGCAGGAGCCACTGTACCTGGGCAAAACTTCAGCGCTGACCCTTTCTCTTTCAGCTGCCTGAAGATGGTGGCCTAAGCCTGGAGTCCAGGCATGAACTTCCCCACCATCTCCCGATCCCCTTTGGGGCCTCCAGCCGTGGACTTGGAGGAGGCCAGGGACATTCTTGTGCCCTCGGAGGACCTCAGTCCCAACAGCCAGTGGGATGCGGTGCCAGGAGGCCCCAGCAGCCTGAGTCAGATGGAACTTGATGCGTCAAGCGTTCAGGAGCTGGTGCAGCAGTTTGAGGCTCTGCCGGGCGATCTGGTAGGCCCGTCCCCAGACGGAGCCCCCTGCCCCCTACACATTGCCACAGGCCACGGCCTGGCCCCCCGGGAGATCGCCGATGCCCATGGACTCCTGTCTGCGGAGGCGGGCCGGGATGACCTGCTGGGCCTCTTGCACTTTGAGGAATGCCCGCCTTCCCTGCCTGGTCCTGAGGAGCCTCTGCAGCCTGCCCCCCAACTGTTGCAGCCCCCTGAGGACCCAGAGGAGGATCCTGATCCCCCAGAATGGGCGGAGGGGGCCACTGCTGAGCAGGGGGGCAGCAGGAGCTCAAGCAGTTCCCCGGAATCCTGGCTGGAGACGGTGCCTCTAGTTGCACCTGAAGAGCCACCTGCTGGTGCCCAGGTAGTGCCTGCCCCACCCTCCAAGTGTCCTGGACTGCCTGGAGCCAAGCAGCGGGACTCAGTCCTGCCCCTCCTCTGTCTTCTTCCAGAGCCCCGAGACCCTGGCTTCCTACCCTGCCCCCCAGGAGGGTGAGTGTCCTGCCCACCCTGGCCTCAGGCACCTAGGGTTTCTAGACAGCCAGAGTCAATGAAAAGTTTGCCAGTGAGGATGAGGTTCTCAAAAGGCTCTAGGGGGGTTTCAAGCAGATGCTGGCCAGCCAGGGGGAGGAGAGCCAGCCTTGACAACGGGGTAGAGTGAGGAGGGGACGGTGGGGCAGCTTTGGCCACCGGTTACACTCGTTCCAGAGCCGGGCTCGGCAAATGATAATCGAGAGCCAGATCCAGCTCGGTGCCTGCTCTCGTAGGTTTCCAGCTAAAGATGGTTTCTGCTTTTTTTTTTGATGATTTCCCTCACCCAGGCTGGAATGCAGTGGCTGGATCTCAGCTCACTGCAGCCTCCGTCTCCAGGTTCCAGCCATCCTCCCACCTCAGTTTCCTGAATAGTTGAGACTACATGTGCGTGCCACCACGCCCAGCTAATTTTATTTTGTATATCTGGGTAGAGACGGGGTTTCACTGTGTTGCCCAAGCTGATTTCCAACTCCTGAGCTCAAGCAATCTGCCTGCCGGGGCCTCCCAAAGTGCTGGGATTACAGGCGTGAACCTCCATGCTGGATGGCCTTGGCTTTCTTTTTCTTTTTCCTTTTTTTTTTTTTTGAGATGGAGACTCACTTTACCGCCCGGCTGGAGTGTGGAGGTGTGATCTCTGCTCACTGCAACCTCCACTGCTAGGTTAAGTGACTCCCCTGCCTCAGCCTCCCGAGTACCGAGTAGCCGGGACTATAGGCGTGTACCACCCCGTCCAGCTAATTTTTTTTTTTTTTTTTGCATTTGTAGTAGAGACAGGGTTTCACCATGTTAGCCGGATGGTCTTCATCTCCTGACCTCGTGGTCCGCCCGCCTCGGCCTCCGAGAGTGCTGGGATTACAGGTACCCTGTCTGGACATCTTCATGGATTTCTTTTTTTAATTGAAAGAAGAATACTACTTGACATGTGAAAATGATATCCTAGGATGGATATGGTGGCTCATACCTGTAATCCCAGCCCTTGGGGAGGCTGAGGTGGGAAGACTGCTTGAGCCCAGGAGTAGGAGACCAGCCTGGGCAATGTAGCAAGATCCCATCTCTACAAAAAATGTTTAAAGTTAGCCAGACATGGCAGTGCATGCCTGTAGACCCAGCTACTCAGGAGGCTGAGGCGGGAGAATCTCTTGAGCTCAGGAGGTTGAGAGTGCGGTGAGCTGAGATCACGCCACTGCACTCCAGCCTGGGTGACAGACTGAGGCTCTGTCTCAAAAAAAAAAACAAAATGCAATTGAAATGTCAGTATGCATAAATAAAGTTTTATCGGTACAAATCATGCTTGGCCATTCATGTGTGGCCCATGGCTGCCCTGCCGTTAGAATGGCAGAGCCGAGCAGCGGCAGCAGAGACCTTGTCACCTCCAAGGCTGAAAATATTTACTCTTTGGCCTTTTATAGAAAATGTTTGCCAATCCCTACCCTGAAATCATGGGAAGAACAATTTCTGGCCCTCTGGAATGTTCTAGACTTTCCTAAGGATGTAGGCAGGGTGGCTCATCCCTGTGATCTCTATTCTTTGGAAAGTGAGAGTTGGAGACCAGCCTGGGCAACACAGCAAAAGGCTGTCTCTACAAAAATAACCCCCCCCAAAATGAGCCAGGTGTGTGGCAGGGGTCTGTAATTCCAGCTACTTGGGAGGCTGAGGCGGGAGGATCACTTGAGGCCGCAGTGAGCCAGGATAATGCCACTGCGCTCCAGCCTGGGTGACATAGTGAGACCGTGTCTCAAAAAAAAAAAAAAAAATCAGTTCCGTGGTTGTAGAGAGGACTGGTGTGAAGCTGTAGCTCTAAGAAGGTTCTAGAATCATGAGCAGACCTGTGATACCTGGGGAGTTCCGGGGCTTGGCGTTTTGTCTGTGTTTCTAGGTTAGAGGAATCCAGCCTGATGAGAATGCCCAGAATTGGTGAACAGAACCATCTGGTTCCACTGAGACTAGAGAATTCTGGAACCATGGAGGACATAGTTGTGCAGGGCTCTGGAGTTCGCGGGCAGAGCTGTCCCATTACAGTGTAATCAGAAAGTTCTGGATGGAACTATAATAGAAATAGAACGCGAGCCGTATGTGATTTAAAATTTTGTAGTTATCTACATTAAAAAATTTAAAAACAGGTTGGGCGCGGTGGCTCACGCCTGTAATCCCAGCACTTTGGGAGGCCGAGGCGGGGGGATCACAAGGTCAGAAGATTGAGATCATCTTGGCCAACATGGTGAAACCCCGTCTCTATTAAAAATACAAAAAAATTAGCTGGGCGTGGTGGTGCGCGCGTGTAGTCCCAGCTACTTGGGAGGCTGAGGCAGGAGAATTGCTTGAATCCGGGAGGTGGAGACTGTGGTAAGCTGAGATCGTGCCACTCACTACAGCCTGGGTGACAGTGTGAGACTCCGTCTCCCAAAAAAAAAAAAAATTTAAAAACAGATGAAATAACTTTTTTTTTTTTTTCATTGAAACGTAGTCTGGCTCTGTGGCCCGGGCTGGAGTGCAGTGCTGCAGTCTCGGCTCACCACAACCTCCAGCTCCCGGGTTCAAGCGATTCTCCTGCCTCAGTCTCCAGAGTAGCTGGGACTACAGGTGCCCACCACCACGCCCAGCTAATTTTTGTATTTTTAGTAGAGATGCGGTTTTACCATGTTGGCCAGGCTGGTCTCAAACTCCAGACCTCATGAGCCACCACGCCCTGCCTTAAATTATTTTTTTCCAACTAAATTTTCAGTATTTAGTGTGTATTTTCTTTCTTTCGTTTCTTTTCTTTTCTTTCTGACAGAGTCCCGCTCTGTTGCCAGGCTGGAGTGCAGTGGCGCCATCTCGGCTCACTGCAACCTCCACCTCCTGGGTTCAAGCGACTCTCCTGCCTCAGCCTCCCGAGTAGCTGGGACTACAGGCGCCCACCACCACGTCTGGCTAATTTTTTTTGCATTTTTAGTAGAGACAGGGTTTCACCATGTTGGCCACGGTGGTCTCGATCTCTTGACCTCATGATCCACCCGCCTTGGCCTCCCAAAGTGCTGGGATTACAGCCATGAGCCACCGCGCCCGGCCCTAGTGTGTGCTATTTACACCTCTATTCAGATGAGCCACATTTTAAGTCTGTGATGGCTACATGTGCCTGGTGATTTCCACAGTGAGTGGCACATCTCTGGAACCCCAGAGTGAAGCTCTTGTTCCAGAATGCTTAGCTCCTGAAGGACAGTGGGCAGGACTGGCTGTGGTGAAAATTCACTTAGGGGTGTCCTGAACTGGGTCCTACGCCTGTGCTCCGAAACCAAAATGCGGTAGTTACTCGTTAGAACACACTAGGGCTACTGGCAGAGCTGTCTGGCTGTAGGTATCTCAGGGAATTCTAGACCATGGGAGTGAAGCTTTTTATTTTTCCTTTTTGTTTTTGGAGACTGAATCTCGCTCTCTCACCCAGGCTGGAGTGCAGTGGCGTGATCTCGGCAATCTCCACCTCCTGGGTTCAAGCGATTCTCCTGCCTCAGCCTCCCGAGTAGCTGGGATTACAGGTGCGCGCCACCACGCCCGGCTAATCTTTGTATTTTTAGTAGAGACGGGGTTTCACCCTGTTTGCCAGGCTGGTCTTGAACTCCTGGCCTCAAGTGATCCGCCCACCTCAGCCTCCTAGAGTGCTGGGATTCCACGTATGAGCCCCCCGCGCCCGGCCAGGAGTAAAGCTTTATGTATTCTGGGCTGGGCTGGGAGTATTCTTAGAATCCCCGGTGTAGCCAAAGGTGTGAACTGCTGAGGGAGATTCTGGAACCACAGGGAGAGCTATGGTGATGAAGCTGTTGCGGAACCGTGGAGCAGAGAAGTCTGATTCTGGAGGGAGAATTCATGTCTAGAACTTCTGACAGAATTGCGATGAGACCTGCAGAGTTCAGGAGTCAAGAGTCAGAACCCAGCCGGGGTTGTGGGCTCTATGGGAATGTTCAGCATGCCCCAGTTCTCTTTCTATCCCGGGCAGTTCAACCCAGGAGCAGAACTGCCTGCTGTCCCCGGCTGGCTGGAGACAGTTCTAGAGCAGTGGGCAGAGTTGGGGGGTTCTAGACTGATGGAGGGAATTCCAGCACCAAGAAGCAGGGGGCGACTATCATTCTAGAATGTTGTCAGGTTTAGAAATAGGAGTGGGGCCGGGTGCGGGCGCTCACGCCTGTCATCCCAGCACTGTGGGAGGCCGAGGCGGGCGGATCGCTTGAGGCCAGGAGTTCGAGACCAGCCTGGCCAGCATGGCGAAACCACGTCTCTACTAAAAATACAAAAATTAGCCGGGCGCGGTGGCAGGCACTTACAATCCCAGCTACTCATGAGGGTTGAGGCAGCAGAATCACTTGAACCCGGGAGGCGGAGGTTGCAGTGAGCCGAGATCGCGCCCCTGCACTCCAGCCTGACTGACAGAGCGAGACCCTGTCTCAAAAAATAAATAAATAAATAGAGTGGGACGGTCTGGTTCTGGCCTGACCCTGGAATTCTGGGAACCTGGGGTGAAGGTACCTGTGGGGGCTACATCTGGCTTTGAATCCAGCCATCGTCTGGACTCACTGGCTTTCCGCTCTGTGAGTCCTTGAGGGGTGGACAGAAGGTTCTAGCCTGTGCGGGCCAAGCTGCTTGGATGGCAGTAGAACAGTGGGCGGTGCTTCCTGGCCAGAGAGTGCCAAGCCACCAGCTGGAACTCTGCCTCCTGACCATCTCGGAGAGCGCAGCCCCGGGGCAGAGCCCGTGGGAGTGGGCTCCCGAGGGCCGACCTTCTCCGCTGTCGCCCTCAGTGCCCGGTCCCTGTGACCATGAGGACCTTCTGGATGGTGTCATATTTGGGGCCAGGTACCTGGGCTCCACCCAGCTGGTGTCCGAGCGGAACCCGCCCACCAGCACGCGCATGGCCCAGGCCCGGGAGGCCATGGAGCGCGTCAAGGTGAGAAGAGGGGCCGGGGGCGGGCGGGTGATGGGCTGCGGGCACGGTCTGCGGGGGCCTCCACCTCCCATACCACACCCACAGGCCCCCGACGGGGAGACCCAGCCCATGACGGAGGTGGACCTCTTCGTCTCCACCAAGAGGATCAAGGTCTTGACGGCGGACTCCCAGGTGCGGGGCAGGGACCTGACTCCATGGACGAGGGTGGGGTGACTGGGCCTGGCACGGCCCCCAGCCCACGCAGGCTGCTTCTCCCGCCTGCAGGAGGCCATGATGGACCACGCCCTGCATACCATCTCCTACACCGCCGACATCGGCTGCGTGCTGGTGCTGATGGCGCGGCGGCGGCGGGCGCGGGGGCCAGCACCCCAGGACCACGGCCGCCGCCTCCACAGGATGCTGTGCCACGTGTTCCACACGGAGGACGTGAGCAGCCGGGGCGCGGCCGCCTCCTGAAGCCCTCCTGACTGCCCCGGTGCCCCCTGCTGCGCCTGGCACTTATCCCACTCATAAGCTTATTTTTCCGTTCTGTTTTTGGGTCAGGGTCTCCCTCTGTCACCAGGCCGAGGTGCACCTGTGGGCTCCACCCCCCAGGCTCACGTGATCCACCTCAGCCTCCCTGGTAGCTGGGACCGCAGGGATGTCGCCGTGCCTGGCTAATTTTTGTATCTTTTGTGGAGACAGGCTCTGGCTTAATCTGTTGCCCAGGTAAACATAGGGTCTCAAACTCCTGGGCTTGAGCGATCCACCTCGGCCTCCCAGACCGTTGGGATTACAGGCGTGAGCCACCTCGCCCAGCCTCCCGTAAGCCTGCGAGACTCAGTCGACTCCCTGAAACCTTGCCCGCTCCTGGGTTGTCCCTGTGGGACCCCTGATGGGACCCATCAGGCCCCAGGCCCCCTGGCTGGCTCTCTGGTAGCTTTTCCCACAGGCCATGTACAGGGAGCTGCTCTCCTCATTGTTCCCCAGCCCAGGGCTGGTCCCCTTCTCCCTGTAGACACCCCACGATCCGGCCATCTCTCCAGCTCCCCCAAAGCCCCGGGGCAGGAGGCTGAGTCCTGGGACTCTCACCCCAGGTGGGGACAGGAGGGCTGAGCTCTGAGGACCCTGGGGACTTTGGGAACCTGGAGGAGGGGGGTGGGACACCCCAGGGACACGCCGCCCCTCCCCACAGGCCCAGCTCATCGCCCAGGCCATTGGCCAGGCCTTCGCTGCTGCCTACAGCCAGTTCCTGCAGGAAAGCGGCATTGACCCCAGCCAGGTGGGCACGCACCCAAGCCCAGGCACCACCGGCCCCGGCCACCTCCACAACGGGGACTTGGACCACTTCTCCAACAGCGACAACTGCCGGGAGGTAAGTGAGGCGCCAGGCAGCCCCCACCCGGCCCTTGCCCACCCGCACCTGCACCAGGCCCCACCCAGCAGCCTCCACGTCCCCTCTGTGTCTCAGGTGTGCCTGGAGAAGCGGCGAGGGGAGGGCCTGGGTGTGGCCCTGGTGGAGTCGGGCTGGGGCTCCCTGCTGCCCACAGCTGTCATCGCCAACCTGCTGCACGGGGGCCCCGCCGAGCGCTCAGGGGCCCTCAGCATTGGGGACCGCCTGACTGCCATCAATGGGACCAGCCTGGTGGGGCTGCCCCTGGCCGCGTGCCAGGCCGCCGTCCGCGTGAGTTTCCTGGGGTGGCAGGGCCCCCATACTCCCAGGAAGGGGAGCTGAGTCCCAGAGAGGTCTCTTCCCTCTCCAGGTCTCTCCAGCCCAGCTGGGAGGGAGAAAGTCAAACTTGAGAAGTCCCACTGGTGTGCCCTCGGGGAAACTGAGCCTGGAGGAGGGAGGCTGCTTGTCCAGGGCCCCTCTGTGGTACCAGAGCCAGGATGGAAATGCGGGAGGCCCAGCTCCAGGGCCGGGCGGCTTTCTCTCAGCCAAGAGACAGCTGATGTCTAGGGGGTCATTTGTTTGAGACAGGGTCTCACCCTGTTGCCCAGGCTGGAGTGCCGCGGTACAGCTGTGGCTGATGGCACCGTTGACCTCCCGGGCTCAAGCAGTTCTCCTGCCTCAGCCTCCCGAGTAGCTGGGACCTCAGGTGTGCACCACCACGTCCGGCTAATTGTTTTACTTTTTGTAGAGATGGGGTTTCACTATGTTGGCCAGGCTGGTCTTGAACTCCTGGCCTCAAGTGATCCACCTGCCTTGGCCTCCTATAGGCCTGGTGTTACAGGCGTGAGCCACTGCGCCCGGCCATGGTTTTGACTTTTTTTTTTTTGAGATTGAGTCTCGGTCTGTCACCAGGCTGGAGTGCAATGGCGCGATCTCGGCTCACTGCAACCTCCGCCTCCCGGGTTCAGGTGATTCTCCTGCCTCAGCCTCTCGAGTAGCTGGGACCACAGGCGTGCATCACCAAGCCCAGCTAATTTTTTGTATTTTTAATAGAGACGGGGTTTCACCATGTTGGTCAGGATGGTCTCGATCTCTTGACCTCGTGATCCACTCGCCTCGGCCTCCCAAAGTGCTGGGATTACAGGCGTGAGCCACCGCACCCAGCCTGTTTTTGAAGATTAACCTTTGTTGCTCACATGGGGAAACTGAGGCCCAGAGATAGGGAGGGACTTGCCCCAGTCAGAGGGATGAGGCCACGGTCTGCACAGCCTCGTATAGAACGTTTGCCACCTGCCTGGAGAGCCCGGCCATCAGCTTGGCTTTCGGCCATAAGGAAGCCGTGGTTGGGTCAGGCGGCTTCCACCCGAGCCCACTGGGCCCGAGTCTGTCCTTCACCACATCTGAGGCTCTGCCAGAACTGAGCCCCTGGACTCCAGGTCACTGGTTTACAAGAGGGTAAACTGAGGTCCAGAGGGGGCTACAGCCTGCCAAGCTGTCCGGCAGCTCAGCAACGCCAACGGCCCCTGTCCCGCAGGAGGCGAAGTCGCAGACGTCAGTGACACTCAGCATCGTCCACTGCCCGCCCGTCACCACGGCCATCATCCACCGGCCCCACGCCCGCGAGCAGCTGGGCTTCTGCGTGGAGGACGGCATCGTGAGGCCCTGGCCCCTGGCCTGGGTGGGGGGTGGGGCGGCCCCAGGCACGGCCCCTGAGCAGCAACCCCCCCCTTTCGTCCCCCAGATCTGCAGCCTCCTCCGTGGGGGCATCGCCGAGCGTGGGGGCATCCGCGTGGGCCACCGCATCATTGAGATCAACGGGCAGAGCGTGGTGGCCACACCACACGCCCGCATCATCCAGTTGCTCACTGAGGCCTACGGCGAGGTGTGCAGGTGGTGGGCGGTGGCCCGGAGCGTCCCCCGCCGCAGCCCCAGGCCTGCCCTGAACCCTCATCTGCCTCCACTCCTCAGGTGCACATCAAGACGATGCCCGCCGCCACATACCGCCTCCTTACAGGCCAGGAGCAGCCCGTGTACCTGTGACCGCCCCGTCCCCCGCCTGCCACCGTGCCTTCGCCTCCATGGCCCTGGAGTCCCATCCCGGGCCTGCCTTGGCTGGCCAGGACCCCAGCGGTTCCTTGGTCCTGTATGATTTTCTAATACAAAAACAGTAAAAGCTCATCCAGTCGGCAAAGCCTCGGATCAGGCTCTGTGGGACCGAGGAAAGTGAGTCCGGGGCCAGCCCGCTCCCCCGCCTCATCCTTCCCGGGAGCCGCCCGCTCCCCCGCCTCATCCTTCCCGGGAGCCGCCCGCTCCCCCGCCTCCTCCTTCCCGGGAGCCGCCCGCTCCCCCGCCTGGTCCTTCCCGGGAGCCGCCCGCTCCCCCGCCTGGTCCTTCCCGGGAGCCGCCCGCTCCCCCGCCTCGTCCTTCCCGGGAGCCCTCGGAAGCCAGTGCTGTGAAAATACTCGGTTTATTAAAGACCAGGCGGAGGGAGGCAGGGTTGCAGGTTCCGCAGGGAAACTGAGTCCCAGCCCCAGGGAGGGAGGAGGACGACGGACCGGCTGGCAGCCTGGGGGAGGTCACACGTCCGTGGCCGGCCCCCAGTCGTAGCCGTCTTCGTCGGAGGATTCCACGTCTCGGGCTCGTGTGAACTTTTTCTTCAGAGCTTCCCGTTCGTAGGTTCTGGGGACCAGGAAATAGAATCGAGGCTGTGGGTGAGGAGGGTGTGAACTTGCCCAGCAGAGCCTGAGGCCGACCCATGCGGGCCCAGGGTGTGGGCAGAGAGAAGCACGTCCAGCCATTCCCAGCAGAGCCCGAGGCCGACCCGTGCGGGGCCGGGGTGTGGACAGAGAAGCACATCCGGCCATTCCCTGGTTTTTGTTTTTTTTAGAGACAGGGTCTTGGTCTTGTTGCGCAGGCTGGAGCGCAGTGGCGCAATCTTGGCTCACCACAACCTCCGCCTCCCGGGTTCAAGGGATTCTCTTGCCTCAGCTTCCGGAATAACTGGGATTACAGGTGCACACCACCACACCCAGCTAACTTTGTATTTTTAGTAGAGATGTGGTTTCTCCATGTTGGTCAGGCTGGTCTTGAACTCCTGACCTCAGCTGACCCGCCGCCTTTGCCTCCCAAAGTGCTGGGATTACCGGCGTGAGCCACCTTACCCGGTTGGGTAGGGCCTTGTTAGCAAACTCCTATGCATCCCTCAAAGCCCCAGCTGCAATGTCCTGCCCTTCAAGAAGCCTTCCCAGTCCTCCCTCAGTTAGTGGTACTCCTTTGGCCCTGATGATACGGGGCTTACAGAGGCTCTGTCAGGCTGTCTTCCCCAGTAGTGGGTAGGGGCACCATGACCGCAGCGCTTGGATGTAGAGCTCTGCCTTAACCCCAGAGTGTGAGTCCCAAGGGAAGGGTTGGGGGCCCCCAGTCTGGAATATGCTTACCGCATGCTGTCCTGTCGCCACTGACCCTGCGGGTGGCGGCTGTCCACCTGTGAGGAGAGGGAGAGAGGAGCTTCACAATTCACCCCAGAGCATGGTAAGTCGGGGCCAATCACTGCCGTCGTCCCATCCCCCACCCTGGCCCGGGCCGTGCTGCCCATGTGTTAACTCCCTGACAAGTCTGCGGGTCATCCCCAAACCTAAATGAGGAAACTGAGGCTGGGATAGGGGAAGGCCTCAGCCGAGACCTCCTAACCTGTCAGCAAAGGGGGAATTGGGTTTCTCTGCGCAGGTCCTTATGGGGCCACTGCCATGAGCTCATGTATGTAAGTGACTTGGAACAGTGGCTGCTCCACGTGCAGGCTGCCGTGGACAGTTGAGCAGGTCGGGTACTGCACAAGCCCGGGAAAATCATCCTAACCATAGAGTGTGGAAGATGATGCTGAGGCATAGAGACTAAGAGCTACACACACGTGTTACTGTTACGACAGCTGGGTGCAGTGGTGCACGCCTGTAATCCCAGCACTTTGGGGGCCAGGGCAGGAGGATCACTTGAGCCCAGGAGTTAGAGACCAGCCTGGGCCACATAGCGAGACCCCATCTCTGCGAAAAATGCAAACAGCTAGCAGGGCGTGATGGTGCACGCTTGTTGCCCCAGGTCCTTGGGAGGCTGAGCGGGGAGGATCCCTTTAGCTCAGGAGTTGGAGGCTGCAGTGGACTGTGATTGCACCACCGCACTCCAGCCTGGACAGCAGGGCAGGGTCCCAACTCTAAAATTACCAAAAAGTCATAAATACGTAAATTAAATAGGTTCAGAAAACAAACACCCAACTCCTCCGTGCACGGCTCGGGCTGAGCGTACTCAGTGCTCACCACCGCCATGGGCCGCCAAGTCCGATACCGTCCACCCCCGTCCTAGAGAGGGAAACAAGCCGGCAGAGAGGCTGAAATGTTGGCTAGAGGCCGGGCACGGTGGCTCACGCCCGTAATCCCAGCTGCTTGGGAGGCTGAGGCAGGAGAATCGCTTAAACACAGGAGGTGGAGGTTGTAGTGAGCCAAGATCGTGCCACTGCACTGCAGCCTGGGTGACGGAGCGAGACCAACTCAAAAAAATAAATAAAGACCGGCCTCGGCGGCTCATGCCTGTAATCCCAGCACTTTGGGAGGCTGAGGCAAGTGGATCATGAGGTCAGGAGTTCGAGACCAGCTTGGCCAAGACAGTGAAATGCCGTCTCTATTAAAAATGCAAAAATTAGTCGGGCATGGTGGTGGGCACCTGCAATCCCAGCTCTCAAGAGGCTGAGGCAGGAGAACTGCTCGAACCCAGGTGGCAGAGGTCGCGGTGAGCTGAGATTGCACCACCACACTCCAGCCTGGGCAACAGAGCAAGACTCCATCCCCCCAAAAAAATGGCTGAAGTTGCTCAGGACCACGTGGGTCTCGGCTACCCCAGGTCTGAGTCCTGGTAACCGATCTGACCAGGGAAGCTGTGTTCATTGACGTTTTGGTAGAAAACAGGCTTCCCAGTGTGTGTCTGCCCTGTGCTGGGGTCCCCTCCAGAGACCGTTCTCAGGACTGCCCCCCATGTCCCACACACCTGGGCCTCCCGGCGAGCCGAGATTCTCCCATGATCCCTTGGGCTCTGGAGCTCATCTGCCTGCACAGGCTCCGAGGACCGGGCCAGGGCCGGAGCGGGGGGCTCGTCATCCACGTCCGTGTGGGCCCCCCCCTCGCCGTCCGTGCAGCCCTCGCCGTCCGTCTCATAGTCGCTGTTGACACGGCTGTCGCAGCTGAGGTCGGCGGAGCTGTCTGCCAGGCCGCGGTGAGGGAGATCTAGGTTGTCCTCCAAGGAGCCATCCAGCTGTGGGGTGAGCGTGGAGGCTGTGGCTGGCCCCGGCCAGGCCCTAGCCCCCGCCACCCACGACAGCCCCCACCTTCAAACTCCAGCCCCAGATCAAGGCAAGGATCCTGGCGCCTCTAGTCTCCATGGAGCCTTCACTGTCAGACTCCAGGTGAGCTGTGTCCATTGACCCTTCACCTGAGAGGCTCAGCCCCCAAATCCAAGCTGAGCCCCAAACCTTGACTCCAGCCCCAGAAGACTCCGTTCTCTTTTTGGGTTTTGTGTGTGTGTGTGAGAGAGAGACAGCCTCACCCAGGCCGGAGTGCTGTGGCGCAATCTCTGCCCACTGCCACCTCCACCTCCCGGGTCAAGGGATTCTCCTGCCTCAGCCTCCCCAGTAGCAGGGATTATAGGCATGAGCCACTGTGCCCCACTGACTCCATTCTCAAAACAGCTCCTCCAGGCCAGGTGCGGTGGCTCACACCTGTAATCCCAGCACTGTAGGAGGCTGAGGAGGGCAGATCACCTGAGGTCAGGGGTTCGAGACCAGCCTGGCCAATATGGTGAAACCTCATCTTTACTAAAAATACAAAAATTAGCCGGGCGTGGTAGCGCGTGCCTGTTTTCCCAGCTACTCAGGAGGCTGAGGCAGGAGAATCACTTGAACCCGGGAGGCAGAGCTTGCAGCGAGCTGAAATCACGCCACTGCACTCCAGCGTGGGCAGCAGAGCGAGACTCGACCTCAAATCAAACGAAAAGCAGCTCCTCCAATCTCATGTTACCCCAACTTCCAGGCCAAGACCCTCATCCCAGGTCCCATCTTGACCTCAGCTGCGATCCTGACCCCCGACCAAGCCCTAACCCCAGACACAGGCTACAAACCCCAGCTGGGCCAGCGCAGGCTCTGTGGGACCCCCGTGCCCCCCGCCCACCTGCACCACAGCCGTACCTGATCTTCCGCCGTCCAGATGGGCCGTGTCTGCTGCTCTCGAATGATGGCCTTGAGCTCCTGGTACCAGGCGTCACTCGTGCCATTCAGAGCGATGGTGGCTGCAGGGAGGGGACATTAGTGTGCGCAGGAGACTCAGGCCGGGGCCCGCCCGCCTACCCTGGGACATCCAACCTGTAAAGAGGTGGCCGCTGTGTTTCCGCAGCTTCTGGGCTTGGGCGTAGAGGCGGCGGGAGCTGCGGCGGGAGGCAGGTGCCAGCCACTGGCGCAGTGCCTTAAGGGCCGGCCGGCTCTCAGGGGCGAAGAAGACCACGATGGGGTAGTACTGCACGTAGTTGAGGCGCTCGATGGCAGAGGGGGTCACATCCAGGAGCGCATGCTTGTCCTGGGCCAGGCAGGGCAGACAGAGAAAGATGGAAAGATGAAGAGTCTGGGGTCAGAGTGGACCCCAGCCTCTCACATCCAAGGGCTAGCATGTCAAGGATGGGGGTGGGTAATAGCCCAGGCCACAGCATCCTGGGGCATCCAAGCCCCAACTTGAGTCTCGCTGCCTCTGCCCATGTTTGACTCCGGGAAGCCCTTTTCTGTCTCAGGCCTCCTGCCTCACAAAGCCTCCTAGAGGGGCTCCATGGGAGGCTGCACTCATGGGGTGCGGGCTGAGAACAAGTCAGAACATTCAGTTGGACACCCAGGCCTCGGCTTCCCCCATCCGTGAAAGGCACCTGCAGTGGGACCCGACTTACTTTTTCTGCGATCACCCGCACAGTGTCCAGTTTGATGATCTTGGAGGGGCTGTCCGTCCTGGACACAGTCTCTGTGGACAGGAGAGAGGACCAGCAGCTTCAGGAGGGCAGCCCTCGGCCCTCAGATTCATGCCTACCTGCCCCACCCCTGCTCAAGAAGCCACCGTGGCTCCCTATTACCCTGGAGAGAAATCCTCCAGCAGCAGTCCTCCTGTTGGTCAAGTGCCAGACACTATACTCATGTCCCCTCCTGACCTCAGCCCTCACCTCTTCCTGAGGAGTGGGGCGGGCTGGTACTGGCCCTTGTGGCAGATGGGGAAACTGAGGCTCAGAGACAAAAGGCCACTTGCTCAGGGCCACAGGGTCAGAGGCCAGATGCTGAGCCTGAGCTGCAGGCCCTGGCTCTCCCAGGCTCAGTCCCAACTCCGGGACTCTGCTCAGGCTGTGACCCCACAGGAAGCTCGACTGTCACCCCCATCTGTCCTCTAGGACCTGAGAGGAGCACCGCGTCCTCCAGGAAGCCCTCCTGTATTGTGTGAAGTTTCAGGAAGGAGACACAGCCTGCCATGGAGGGATTCAAGGAGGGAGACACGACCTCTTCCCCCCTTTGTTTTTGTGGTTAAAGACGTAAAATTTGCCATCTTTTAAAAATTAAATTCTTTTTTCTTTTATAGAAACGTAATTTTGCCATGTTGCCCAGGCTGGTCTCAAACTCCTGGCCTCCCGAACTGCTGGGAGTTTCAGGCCTCAGCCACCACACCCGGCCACAATTTGCCATCTTAACTATTTTTGGCTTGTTTTTTGTTTTGAGACAGGGTCTCCCTCTGTCCCCCAGGCTGGAGTGCAGTGGCCTGATCTCTGCTCACTGCAACCTCCAGCTCCTGGGCTGAAGCAATTCTCGTGCCTCAGCCTTCTGAATAGCTGGGATTACAGGCACGCCATCAGGTCCAGCTAGTTTTTTGTGTTTTTAATAGAGACAGGGTTTTACTATGTTGGCCAGGATGGTCTTGAACTCCTGACCACAGTGCCCGGCCTCCTAAACTGTTTCTTGCTCTGTCACCAGGCTGGAGTGCAGTAGCTCGATCTCAGCTCACTGCAACCTCTATCCGCCAGGTACAAGTGACTATCCTGCCTCAGCCCGAGTAGCCATGACTACAGGCATGTGTCACCATGCCCCGCTAATTTCTGTATTTTTCGTAGAGACGGGGTTTCACCATGTTGGCCAGGATGGTCTTGATCTCTTGACCTCATGACCCACCCGCCTCGGCCTCCCAAAGTGCTGAGATTACAGGCGTGAGCCACCGCGCCCGGCCTGTCATTTCTATGGTTGTGCATCTGGGATCTCTCCCAGGGACCTTGCCTGCCCTGTGGCTGCTGTCTCAGAAGATCAATAAACTTCTCTTCAACGAGTAACAGGTGGTACTTTGCCTCAACTGGCAGTGGCCACCGGTGGACCGTATTAAGAAGGATTCAAAGGCGCTAAATGCAGACACAGTGGCAGGATCGATGGAGCGTGTCTGGCCTGGGCATCGGACGGGGCACTGGTGGCTCGCCTGCCTCCTATTTGCCGTCATTAGTCCAACTCTCCCCCCACCCCCTGCAAAACAGCCGTTGTAAAATGATTCACCAACGAGGTATCCAGGGGCTCTGGCTTCTCACCTGCGATTTCAAACTGGTCAGGCATCTCAGCAGTCAACTTCTGCATAGCAATGTCGGCCACGGGGCCCAGGATCACCACCGGGCGCTTAAAACTGGCTGAGGGTCAGGGACAAGTGAAACAATCAGGGTCCCATTTGCTAATGTGTTGTACAAACACCTCCACTTCCTTATAATGAACAGCCCATTTAACCAGGACCATGGCTGCGCAGCCAAAGACTACATCTCCCAGTGTCCCTTGCAGCTAGGCTGGCCATGTGAGTAAATTCCAGCCAATGGAATGCAAGCAGAATTGGTGTGTGGATTACTGGCTTTTTTCAAGAGCAGGAATCAGCGCCCCTCCTGCCTTCATTCCCTTTCTCCCTGGCTGTAGAGTCTCTTTTAGCAGTTGAACCTAGCTAACTCATAGTCAACCTAAGGGCCACATCCGGCCCACTGCCTATGTTTGTCAATAAAGTTTTATTGAAACTGAGTCACAGCCACTCATTTATGTCCTGGCTGTGGCTACTTTTGAGCAAAGCTGAGTAGTTCTGCCACAGACTAGCCCGCAAAGCCTAAAATAGTTGCCGTGTGATCTTTTACAGGAAAAGTGTGTTGATACCTGGCCTACGAGATACACCATTTTACCAGTGAAGAGAAGCATGACAGTCACAGAAGCATCTTGAGTGGGGAAAAGCGGCACCCTGCGATCTTGGCAAGTTAATCCTTCTTTCTCCCTTTCTTTCTGTTTTATTTACTTATTTTTTTTAGACAGTCTCGCTCTGCCACCCAGGCTGGGGGTGCAGTGGCTTGCTCTTGGCTCACTGCAATGTCCCTCCCCCTCCCAGGTGCAAGTGATTCTCCTGCCTCAGCCTTCTGAGTAGCTGGGATTACAGGCACACGCCACCATGCCCAACTTGTTTTTGTTTTTTTAGTAGAGACGGGGTTTCCCCATGCTGGCCAGGCTGGTCTTGAACTCCTAAACTCAGGTGATCCACTCACCTCAGCCTCCCAAAGTGCTGGGCTCACTCTGTCGCCCAGGCTAGGGTGCAGTGGTGTGATCATAGCTCACTGCAGCCTCAAATTCTTGGGCTCAGGAGAAACAAACAAAAAATTCCTGGGCTCGGCCGGGCGCGGTGGCTCACGCCTGTAATCCCAGCACTTTGGGAGGCCGAGGTGGGTGGATCACGAGGTCAAGAGATCGAGACCATCCTGGTCAACAAGGTGAAACCCCGTCTCTAGTAAAAATACAAAATTTAGCTGGGCATGGTGGCGCGTGCCTGTAATCCCAGCTACTCGGGAGGCTGAGGCAGGAGAATTGCCTGAACCCAGGAGGCGGAGGTTGCAGTGAGCCGAGATCGCGCCATTGCACTCCAGCCTGGGGAACAAGAGTGAAACTCCGTCTCAAAAAAAAAAAAAAATTAATTTGTTTCAAATTAGCCAGGCATGGAGGTGTACACCTACATTGGAAACTGAGGCGGGAGGATCCCTGGAGATTGAGGCTGCAGTGAGCTATGATCACACCACTGCACGCCAGCCTGGGTGACAGAACAAGACTCCATCTCAAAAACAAAATAAAATAGGCCAGGCAGGTGGCTCATGCCTATAATCCCAGCACTTTGGGAGGCTGAGGCAGGCAGATCACCTGAGGTTAGGAGTTTAAGACCAGCCTGAGGCCGGGCTCGGTGGCTCAAGCCTGTTATCCCAGCACTTTGGGAGGCCGAGGCGGGTGAATCACGAGGTCAGGAGTTCAAGAACAGCCTAGGCAACATGGTGAAACCCCATCTCTACTAAAAATACAAAAAATTAGCTGGGCATGGTGGCACGTGCCTGTAATCCCAGCTACTCGGGAGGCTGAAGCAGGAGAAGTGCCTGAACCCAGGAGGCGGAGGTTGCGGTGAGCCGAGATCGCGCCATTGCACTCCAGCCTGGGTAACAAGAGCGAAACTCCGTCTCAAAAAAAAAAAATTCCTGGACTGAAACGATCCTCGACCTTCTGCGTAGCTGGGACTAAAGACACCAGTCACGACACCTAGCTAATTTTTTTGCATTTTCATAGAGATGTGGTCTCGCTGTGCTGCCCAGGCTGAACTCAAATTCCTGGGCCCAAGTCGTCCTCCCCCCTCACCCTTCCCAAAGTGCTGGGATTACAGGTGTGAGCCATCGCGTCCAACCTCTTTTTCTCCCTTTCTTCCAGGCTTCCTGGTCATATTTTTATGCTTTCACTGGCTGGGGATAGAAATTAACTGTTGTGGGGCAAGCACAGTGGCTCACACCTGTAATCCCAGCACTTTGGGAGGCCGAGGCGGGAGGATCGCCTGAGGTCAGGAGTTCGAGACCAGCCTGGCCAATATGGTGAAACCCCATCTCTACTAAAAATACAAAATCTAGCCAGGTGTGGTGGCGCCTGTAATCCCAGCTACCCGGGAGGCAGGAGAAGCACTTGAACCCAGGACACGGAGGTTGCAGTGAGCTGAGATCGTGCCACTGTACTCCTGCCTGGGCGACAGAGGAAGACACCATCTCAAAAAAAAAAAAAAAAAAAAAAGAACTGTGTGGCCTTGTATTTCTAAGACTTTTGCATCTGGATATGGGTGGCCGCGTCAGAGGCTTCTCCCAAGGGCCGTTCACCCGTCCCAGGCAGCTTGCTGCTCCCACCCCGCTTCTGTGGCTTTATTTTGAAAATCTGCTGCACCTGGGTTGCTTTTCCGTTGCTGTTGTGGATGTTTTCTTTCCAGATGGAGTCTCGCCTCGCTCTGTCACCCGGGCTGGAGTGCAGTGGCGCAGACTCGGCTCACTGCAACCTCCCCGTCCTGGGTTCAAGCAATTCTCCTGCCTCAGCCTCCTGAGTAGCTGGGACTACAGGCACGCGCCACCACACACGGCTAATTTTTTTGTATTTTTAGTAGAGACGGGGTTTCACCATGATGGCCAGGCTGGTCTCGAACTCCTGACCTCAGGTGATCCGCCCGCCTCCTCCTCCCAAAGCGCTGGGATTGCAGGCATCAGCCACCACGACCAGCCAAAGAAGGTAAATTATTAAAAGACTGTTACCGCTATTGCTTTTTCCTTTCTAAAGGCTATATACGTGCCTTGAATCTTATTTCTGTGGAGACAAATTTATTTTTTTTTTTTTGAGATGGAGTTTCACTCTTGTTGCCCAGGCTGGAGTGCAATGGCGCGATCTCGGCTAACCGCAACCTCCGCCTCCTGGGTTCAGGCAATTCTCCTGCCTCAGCCTCCTGAGTAGCTGGAAATACAGGCACGTGCCACCGTGCCCAGCTAATTTTTTGTATTTTTAGTAGAGACGGGGTTTCACCATGTTGACCAGGATGGTCTCGATCTCTTGACCTCGTGATCCACCCGCCTCGGCCTCCCAAAGTGCTGGGATTACAGGCGTGAGCCACCGCGCCCGGCCCACAAGTAGATTTTTAAGGAGTGAAACCCCTTCCTGTCTCCTTCTGTCCCCTAAAATAACCCAAAAGTTTTCTGCTTTTTTTGTTTGTTTGTTTGTTTGTTTGTTTGACGTGGAGTTTTGCTCTTGTTGCCCAGGCTGGAGTGCAATGGCACGATCTCAGCTCACCGCAACCTCCGCCTCCTGGGTTTAACTGATTCTTCTGCCTCAGCCTCCTGAGTAGCTGGGATGACAGGCACCGGCCACTAGCTCATTTTTTGTATTTTTAGCAGAGATGGGGTTTCACCATGGGGGCCAGGCTGGTCTCACACTCCTGACCTCAGGAGATCCGCCCACCTCGGCCTCCCAAACCGTTGAGATCACAAGTGTGAGCCACTGCGCCTGGCCCCAGAGTAGTAGTTTTGATAGAAGGAGAGTGGTTAGAAATTCCTTCTCTTTCTCTTCCTTTCTTTTTCCTTCTTTCTTTTCTTTCCTTCCTTTTCTCCTTCCTTCCCTCCCTCCTTCCCTCTCTCCCTCCCTTCTTTTCTTTCTCTCTCTGTCTGTCTCTCTTTCTGTCCTTCTCTTTCTTTTCTTTGTCAATCTGTGGCCCAGGCTGGAATGTAGTCACGCAGTCACAGCTCACTGTAGCCTCACCCTCCTGGCTCAGGCGATCTTCCTGCCTCAGCCTCCTGAGCGGCCGGGATAGCTGGGACTGCAGGGAGGCCCCACCACGCCCAGCTGTCTTTATAAATGTGATGGAGAGATGCAGTCTTGCTTTAGGGCCCAGGCTACTCTGGAACTCCTGGTCTCAGTGATCCTCCTTCCTCAGCCTCCCAAAGTGTTAGGATTATAGGCGTGAGCCTCCACTCTACAAGACTGCCTTTTAGAGGCCGGATGCTGGTGAACAGGTGCGCCACTGCCTCTGCGTGGAACCTTCCCAGGGCCCCCTCCCGCCCGGGCCCCACCTTCTCGAAGTACCACTCGTTCATAGGGCGGGTAGTGGCCCTGGCGGGTCAGGGCTGAGAGGTCCTCGCGGCTCCGCTGAGTGGTCTTCTTGGCCCCTCGACGGAGGCCCCGCAGCCGCCAGAACTCGGCCCGAGCATTGGAGCCCGCGGAGGAACCGGGCCCGGCTCCCACGGCCCTCTGGGCAGCTTCCAGGCTGGCCAGCTGCTCCGCCCTGTGGAGAAGAGGGGACAGTGCTGGGCACTGGGGTCAGCAGCACGATGGCCCCAAAGACGTCCTCATCCCCCCGGGAACCTGTGGACTGGCTACTTCATATGGCAAAAGGGACTTCGCAGATGAGATTATTATTTTATTATTATTTATTTTGGTTTTTTTGAGACAAAGTCTTGCTCTGTTACCCAGGCTGGAGTGCAGTGGCACAATCTCAGCTCACCGCAACCTCCGCCTCCTGGGTTCAAGTGATTCTCCTGCCTCAGCCTCCCGAGAAGCTGGGATTACAGGCGTGAGCTGCTGTGCCCGGCCCTTGTTTCTGGGCTTCTGTTACAGCAGAACAGGAAGCTCATACCAGCATCAACCAACTGGGTCCCACCCCGTGCCTTTTGTGGATGTCCTCAGAGTGAGCCAGCCACACTGCTCAGCAGGGCCAGCGTGCCCGTTTCTAACGGGGAGGCTGAGGCAGAGGCGGGAAGGTCCCCACCTGCTCTGGTTGGGAATGATGCCCCGCTCTTGCTCCCGCAGGTCACGACCCATGCGCACCGCCAGCCAGTGGCCTCCTCGCGCGTGGCTCTGCCCGGGGCCCGGGTACAGTGTGTCCAGCACGTGGAAGACGTCACCACGGGTGAAGCCCAGGCCGGACGGCGGGCTGGGCTCCAGCTCAAAGTGCGTGCGGATGTAGAAGGAGTCGCCCACGCGGGACTGCACCATTTTCCAGAAGACTGGGGAGAGGAGGCGGCCACGTGAGCTGTCTGGCTGCTGCCTGCTCATAGCCCTCCCCGCACAGTGGGCCTGGAGGGAGGGACCCTGCCCTGGGGAGACTTGGGACACTCTCCCTGCAGTGGTCAGGAGAGGGATGGACGGTGCAGAGATGCAGCTTTGATCGCACTCCGCTCACCATCAGGCCACACAGCCAGGGCTGCCCCAGCACACAGGCACACGCGCATCCACGCGCACTCACTGTCCTGCTTCCGCTGTGTCAGCAGCTCCATCTCCTCGCCTGGTGGCAGCGCCAGCAGGAACTGCACCGCCTCCTCCCGGGTCAGGTTCTGGAACGGCACGTCATTCACCTGCCGGGAAGCAGGGACAGCTGTACGCTGAGGCTCCGGTACCTCCTGGCTGTGCATGAGAGCCTAGACCTTCCTCTGGGCAAAACCCAGCCCCGGCTGCTTCCAGAGCTGCCATGGGCCCCGGAAGTTCCGGGAGGGTTTTCTGATGGGGGCATCACCCTGTGGCTGTGTGACATGTGACACAGCTGGTGGCATTATAAAGATACAGGGGGTTTTGACCTAGAAACGGGGGCACAGGCACTGCGCTGGCCTCTGGTAATCAAGTCTTTGTAGGTTGTTGATATCAAAATATGGGAACAGGTGTCATGGCATGCGGCTCGGTGGAGATTGTGTGAAGTGCTCGAAAGAGTTCAGACATAGTCACAGGGTCGTGACAGGGAAATACATAGGGACAAGGTGGGTGACAGATGCCTGCCATCAGGTCATGACAGGGACAATATAGGGATGCAGCCACCTCTCAGTGTCACAACAGGGACAGCCATATACAGACACAGCCACCTGCTCTCAGCGTCACGACAGGGACAGCCATATACAGACACAGCCACCTGCTCTCAGCGTCACGACAGGGACAGCCATATACAGACACAGCCACCTGCTCTCAGCGTCACGACAGGGACAGCCATATACAGACACAGCCACCTGCTCTCAGCGTCACGACAGGGACAGCCATATACAGACACAGCCACCTGCTCTCAGCGTCACGACAGGGACAGCCATATACAGACACAGCCACCTGCTCTCAGCGTCACGACAGGGACAGCCATATACAGACACAGCCACCTGCTCTCAGCGTCACGACAGGGACAGCCATATACAGACACAGCCACCTGCTCTCAGCGTCACGACAGGGACAGCCATATACAGACACAGCCACCTGCTCTCAGCGTCACGACAGGGACAGCCATATACAGACACAGCCACCTGCTCTCAGCGTCACGACAGGGACAGCCATATACAGACACAGCCACCTGCTCTCAGCGTCACGACAGGGACAGCCATATACAGACACAGCCACCTGCTCTCACAGTCACGACAGGGACAGCCATATACAGACACAGCCACCTGCTCTCAGCGTCACGACAGGGACAGCCATATACAGACACAGCCACCTGCTCTCAGCGTCACGACAGGGACAGCCATATACAGACACAGCCACCTGCTCTCACAGTCACAGCAGGGACAGCCATATACAGACACAGCCACCTGCTCTCACAGTCACGACAGGGACAGCCATATACAGACACAGCCACCTGCTCTCAGCGTCACGACAGGGACAGCCATATACAGACACAGCCACCTGCTCTCACAGTCACAGCAGGGACAGCCATATACAGACACAGCCACCTGCTCTCACAGTCACGACAGGGACAGCCATATACAGACACAACCACCTGCTCTCAGCGTCACGACAGGGACAGCCATATACAGACACAGCCACCTGCTCTCACAGTCACAGCAGGGACAGCCATATACAGACACAGCCACCTGCTCTCACAGTCACGACAGGGACAGCCATATACAGACACAGCCACCTGCTCTCACAGTCACGACAGGGACAGCCATATACAGACACAACCACCTGCTCTCACAGTCACGACAGGGACAGCCATATACAGACACAACCACCTGCTCTCACAGTCACGACAGGGACAGCCATATACAGACACAGCCACCTGCTCTCACAGTCACGACAGGGACAGCCATATACAGACACAGCCACCTGCTCTCACAGTCACGACAGGGACAGCCATATACAGACACAGCCACCTGCTCTCACAGTCACGACAGGGACAGCCATATACAGACACAGCCACCTGCTCTCAGCGTCACGACAGGGACAGCCATATACAGACACAGCCACCTGCTCTCACAGTCACAGCAGGGACAGCCATATACAGACACAGCCACCTGCTCTCAGCGTCACGACAGGGACAGCAATATACAGACACAGCCACCTGCTCTCGGGGTCACGACAGGGACAGCCATATACAGACACAGCCACCTGTTCTCGGGGTCACGACAGGGACAGCCATATACAGACACAGCCACCTGCTCTCAGCGTCACGACAGGGACAGCCATATACAGACACAGCCACCTGCTCTCGGGGTCACGACAGGGACAGCCATATACAGACACAGCCACCTGCTCTCGGCGTCACGACAGGGACAGCCATATACAGACACAGCCACCTGCTCTCGGCGTCACGACAGGGACAGCCATATACAGACACAGCCACCTGCTCTCGGCGTCACGACAGGGACAGCCATATACAGACACAGCCACCTGCTCTCGGCGTCACGACAGGGACAGCCATATACAGACACAGCCACCTGCTCTCGGCGTCACGACAGGGACAGCCATATACAGACACAGCCACCTGCTCTCGGCGTCACGACAGGGACAGCCATATACAGACACAGCCACCTGCTCTCGGCGTCACGACAGGGACAGCCATATACAGACACAGCCACCTGCTCTCGGCGTCACGACAGGGACAGCAATATACAGACACAGCCACCTGCTCTCAGAGTCATGACATGGATCAAGCTTAGAACCCCACAAGCAGCCAGGCACGGTGGCTCACGCCTGTAATCCCAGCACTTTGGGAGGCCGAGGAGGGCAGATCACTTGTGGTCAGGAGTTCGAGACCAGCCTGACTAACATGGTGAAACCCCATCTCTATTAAAAATACAAAAATAAGCCAGGCATGGTGGCGGGCGCCTGTGATCCCAGCTACTCGGGAGGCTGAGACAACAAGATTGCTTGAAGCTGGGTGGTGGAGGTTGCGGTGAGCTGAGATTGTGCCACTGTAGCCTGGGCCACAGAAGGAGACTCCATCTCAAAAAAAAAAAAAAAGTTGGCCGGGCACGGTGGCTCACACCTATAATCCCAGCACTTTGGGAGGCCAAGGCACGTGGATCACGAGGTCAAGAGATCGAGACCATCCTGGTCAACATGGTGAAACCCCATCTCTACTAAAAATACAAAAATTAGCTGGGCATGGTGGCGCGTGCCTGTAATCCCAGCTACTCGGGAGGCTGAGGCAGGAGAATTGCCTGAACCCGGGAGGCGGAGGTTGTGGTGAGCCGAGATCGCGCCATTGCACTCCAGCCTGGGTAACAAGAGCGAAACTCCGTCTCAAAAAAAAAAAAAGTTAACCTAGATAAGGTCGAGGCACAGAAATGTGACTGGGCAATGAAGCCATGACCTGAGGATGAGGCCGTGACATCAGCCAAGTCATGCACAGCCGAGGGGACACTGGAATGTTAAAATACCCATCTGGGGTCTCCGCAGTCCCCAGGGCGAACAGGAGGACCTACAGATTACAACAGACAAGGGCAGGACCTCGAACACAACACGCTCACGATGGGTGGGCATGGCTCGCCGCCCCTGGCGCACCTGCAGGATCTGATCTCCCTCCTGGATGCCCTGCCCGTCGGCCGGGCTGCCCGCCTGCACCCCAGACACGAAGATGCCCACGTCATTGCCCCCTGCCAGCCGCAGCCCGATACTCTTGCCCTTGATGAAGCGGACCATCCTCGTGTCGGGACTGTACCTGCAGGGGGAGCGGAGGTGGGGTCAGACCAGAGCGGGCAGACCAGGGAGGGCCCAGCGTTGTCCTTGGGAAAGCCCCCACCCCCTCCAGGCCTCGGTTTTCCCAAAGTCCCCAATGGTCCCATTCAACACAACTAATACAAGCAGGCAGGATTTCGCATGAGAGAGGCAGAGACGTAGGAGTTTCGCGCGGGCGGGCTTTCTTCTGGGGAGCGTACCCACGATCCTCCATGCTCTGGCTGCTGGGCACTCTGTACATGTCATAGCTGCTCTCTCTGGGAAACTCTGAAAGGGAAAAGCCGGTCTCTTTCCCAAGCTCACTGGCTCGGTCCAGCCTCCAAACCTTGGCTTTATGTCCTCACCCTGGAAGGACTGTCATCCACCTCAAATCCTCAGGGAACCACGTCTCACCTCTTAGGCTCATACCAACCTCCCCCGGCGCTGCCTGGCACAGCCTTGCTTTTGGGATCAGAAACATCAGGGAGAGGGGTGCTCAGAGCCACCACCCCCCTGCCCGTTGCTCACCTGGTTCCGAGATGGTTCTGGATCCCACTGAGCTTTCCCGCTGAAGCCGGGGGCTCTCCCTGGTGGGGAGCAGATGGGGAGTGAGGCAGGGTGGGTGTCAAGGGGCCATTTTAAAAAGAATTTTAGGCCAGGCGCGGTGGCTCACGCCTGTAATCCCAGCACTTTGGGAGGCCAAGGTGGGCGGATCACCTGAGGTCAGGAGTTCAAGACCAGCTTAGCCAACGTGGTGAACTCCCGTCTCTACAAAAATACAAAACTTAAGATGGGCGTGATGGCGGCTGCCTATAGTCCCAGCTACTCAGGAGGCTGAGACAGGAGAATCACTTGAACCCAGGATGTGGAGGTTGCAGTGAGCCGAGATCACACCATTGCACTCCAGCCTGGGCGACAGAGCGAGACTCTATCTCCAAAAATAAAATAAAAAGAATTGTAATGTATCTGCCAGGCGTGGTGGCTGATGCCTGTAATCCCAGCACTTTGGGAGGCTGAGGCAGGCCAAATGCTTGAGCCCAGGAGTTCAAGACCAGCCTGGGGGGCAACATAGCTCGGCGATATGGACCCCGTCTCTACCAAAAATACGAAAATCAGCCAGTTTGACATGACCCAGTCTGAAATCAATAGATGAAAAAAAAATTTTTTTTTTTTTCGAGACAGAGTTTTGCTCTGTCACCCAGGCTGGACTGCAATGGCCTGATCTCGGCTCACCGCAACCTCCGCCTCCAGGGTTCAAGCGATTCTCCTGCCTCAGCCTCCCAAGTAGCTGGGATTACAGGTGTCCGCCACCACGCCCAGCTAATTTTTGTATTTTTAGTAGAGACGGGGTTTCACCGTGTTGGCCAGGATGGTCTTGAACTTCTGACCTCAGGTGATCCGCCTGCCTCGACCTCCCAAAGAGTACAGGCGTGAGCCACCGCGCCCGGCCTAAGGCACTGTCTGATACCAAGAAGTGGGGTGCTACTTAACCAGCTCCTACAAACGTGGACACGGCTTTGGAACTCGGTAATGGGTAGAGGCTGGAGGCATGTGCTGGAAATACAGGACAGCACCCTCAAGGTCAGCCCCCCTCGGAAAGCTCTGCCCACGTTCCCCTCTCCCTCCTACCCACTCTTCTGGCCAACGGGGGATACTTACACGGGAGAGTCGGTCTGGCTGGCCTCGGGGCTCTGCTGAGCGTGCCGGGGTGGTGGCGGGATGTGGGATGGTGGCGCCTGAGACAGCTCCGAGGCGAGG